ACTGATTTTCTGCCTCCTGGATCTGTCCGTTTCTGATAGAGGGGTGTTTAAGTCTACAACTTTAATAGTGGATTCATCTGTTTCTCCTTGCAGTTTTGTCAATTTTTGCCTCACGTATTTTGATGTTCTGTTCAGCGCATACACATTAAGAATGCTTATGTTTTCATGAAGAATTGACCCCCTTTATCATTATGTAATATCTCTCTTTATCCCTGATAACTTTCCTTGGTCTGAAGTCTGTTCTGAAATTAATAGAGCTATTCCCACTTGCTTTTGATTAATATTAGCATGGTACATCTTTATCCATCCATTTACTTTTAATCTATATGTGTCTTTATATTTAAAGTGGGTTTCTTGTAGACATCATATAGTTGGGTCTTGTTTTTGAACCACACTGACAATCTCTGTCTTCTAATTGGTGTATTTAGATCATTGATGTTTGTTCATCAATTGTAGCAAATGTACTACACTAATGCAAGATAATAATAGGAGAAACTGTGTGAGCGGGGAGGGGTTGGGAGTATATGAGAACTCTCTGTACTTTCTGTGCAATTTTTCTGTAACTCCCTCCCCCTGCTACCAAATAAAATCTGGAGATAGTTTTAGGCAACACCAAGCAGTATGAGACAATTTTGAGACAGTTAGTGTATTTTCTCTTTTATGATGGCAGATTATTTATTTGAATAAATCCTGGAATTTCTCTTATTTAAAATTACATAAACACTTATTAGTCTCATTAGTCAATCAGAAGAGGAGCTCCATTAAATTTTAAGAGACTTTATTTGGTAGTTTTAAGTAGGTCCACAAATTATTTGACACACATCTCTTCAAAGGTGATATCTAATTTCCTGAATGTGAGTCAGGCTTAGTGATGCACTTGTAACAAATAGAATAGGGCAGAAGGTAAGGTATGTGACTTTTGAGACTAGACCATGACAAATTTACAGCTTCCACCTAGCTAACTTTCTTGCCCTTGGAACTCAGGTTCCATGTTGTAAAGAAGCCTGGGGCACATGGAAAGGCCGTGTCTGAGTGTTCTGCCAACAGCCCCAGCAAAGCCACCACCCAACACCATCATTACTTGCCAGACATATGAGTGATGATCCTTCAGATGATTTTGACCCCAGCCTCAAGTCTGCCTGCTAAGACCCTAAGCAATGTGGAGCAGAGACAAGCCATTCCCTCTGTGGCTGAACTCCTGGCCCACAGAAACTGTGAGAAATAGTAAGGATCTTGGTTTAAACTTGGAGTGATTGTTGTGCTATCATGGATACCTAATACAGATTATTACTTTCCTCTGGAGACAGACAAGGTTTATCAGTTTGCTTGCTCAGAAAACATTTCATATTCAGATAATGAAAAAATATTTTGTCAAATCCTCCAGAAAACTAGAAGAACTAGTTATGATAAAATAGCCAGATTTAAGGTGGAAACAGAAATACTTTTATCTATTAAGAATTTAAGATTATTAAAATTAAAGCAGTGGTTCTCAAAGTGTGGTCTGGGGATCTCTAGGGGTTATGAGACACTTCAGGGGATCTGTAAAGTCAAACTATTTTCATAATAATACTAGGATGTTATTTGCCTTTTCAAACTCTCACTCTTTAGCAAGTGTACAATGGAGTTTTCCAGAGACTACATAATGTATGACATCACAACAGATTGAATGAAGAAACAGATATAAGAATCCAGATATCTTCTACTAGGCCAGACATTAAAAGAGATTTGCAAAAATGTAAAAAAAAATACTTTTCAGTATTTTTAAATTGCTTTGGAAAAGATAGTTATTTTTCATAAAAATATGTTATTTATTAGAGTTTGGCAACTTGTAAATCTTGAGTTATATGGCTGAGTCCTCATTTAAAAATATGTTAATTGCCTAAATTTTGATAACATAGTTTCTTCTCTTTCTTTAGCCTTATTTGAAGAGTCCTGAAGGGACATGAATTTGGAATTCTGTGTTCATTTAGAGGCTTTAGTATGCTAATCAAAGAAAGCTGACCCTCATATGTTAGGGGTTTTGTTCCTTTCTGTTTTAAGGCTCTCCTTAGATATTGTCCTTTATTAAAGTCAAAAGTTCTTATAGAGGCCATTGTATATTTTTATCATCCCTGATATAGGAATTCCATTTTGCAGATACTGACAGCTAATGGGTAAGCATGAAAAAAGCTAGAAGTTTAGAGAGAGGAAGAAAGCTCTGATCCTTAGAATTACAGAAACCCATATTGGTGCACGTACAAAACAAATATACACAGTGTATTCTGTCTCTGATTAGAAGCACACGATAGAAACAGCTTCTCAGATTTACAGGGTAAATGCCAGAATCCTCGTGATGAACAGACAAAAACAAACAAACAAAGCTAACAAACCCAGATTTCCTCTTGTGTGCCACCTGCCACAAAAGGCATTCCTGTTGAATGCCTGCTGACAGAAATCACCACCAATGGTTCGTCAGACAACCAAAATCCCACATCACTGATACCAGAAGGGAAGAAAAATTGGATGAATGCAAATCTGAAAAACAACTTGGCTTGTGAGAGCCCAAAAGCTCAATTGCTATCTATACCACTCACCAGAAGAGCCAGGAAAGGTGAGCTGTGGACCTATGGGAACCAAATCGGAACAAGGTATAATTTTAGGCTATATACTTCTCTAGGCTCTGATGGTAGGACTCAGGTGGGAAAATCTTGGTAAAGCTCTCTGGGTTGTTGTGGTGACCTCTTTGCCTTTGTCCCTGCCTCCTGCTTTCTATTTTCTTGGGAGATCTCATTCAGCCCTGCTGCTTGCTGTCTCCCTTGGCCGTTCCAAGGATGACTGAGGCTGCCTTACTCTCTGTGAAGGTGGAATTGCAGGGCCGTAAAGGAGAGGTTTCTCTCAACTATTCTGCCTCTTTATAGAGTGCCTAGGGGTTTTCTTTCAGCTCTCCTAACTAACTGCCCCCTCCCTTTTTGTAGTACTATTCCCAGCATTTGGTGAAGACTAATGTGGCAAAGACTTGGGAGTAGTGCAGTCTGACTCTTTCTGGGGCTCTTCTAGATTCTGATCTGTTATGCCAGCCCCACACATGGCCTGGAAAAATTTGTTAGAAGTTGGGCTGATTTCTCCTGAACCCCATTTATGGTAGATTTCTCCTCCTTGCTCTGTTTCGGGCAGAGATGAAAGCTGCTATGGTTCTCTTCTGTCTTATAGAGGTCTTGTCACTTATGGAGTTTAGTTCAGGCGTTGGCAAACTTTTTCTTTAAAGGGTCAAATAGTAAATATTTGGGGCTTTGTGGGCCAAGAGGCAAAATTGAGCAGTTCTTATTGAAAGACTACTCATACTGAGTAGTCTTTTTCACATTTTATAGTTAAAAATGTAAAAACTATTCTTATCTCCAGGGCCAGACAAAAACATGGGTCAGCTGGATTTGATCCATGGGCCAAACCAACCCGTGGTTTGGTTCATTTAGGTTTCTTTGTGTCCTCACTGATGGATTTCTAAAAATCTATGATTATGTCATCTTTCCAGCTTCTTTCTGTTGGTATGGTCAGAGATCCATACCAGAGCCACTATACTGATGTCATGCCTTTATCTGACCCTGGATCTGATCTCATCCCAAGTCCTAACTCATTTTAACATTGTTACAGGCACATAGAAAAGTGTGGAAGTCCATCTTATAGTTATCTTCTCAGAAGAAGATAAGTGAGTGAATGTCCTAATCAAATTTATACATCTTTCAGATGTTAGTAATCCAGAACATATCCACTGATACTAGTGGTAAATATTTTTACCATTTGTGAATTTAAGGTAACCAAAGGTATAGTTAACCTTAGGCAAGGAATTAAAGTATACATTAAAATATATATGTATACATTAAAGTATACATTACTCTCTTGTTAATTAATCTCTGTAGATACAGTCTGTTTATACCCACAGAACAAAGATGTGTTTTTTTTGTGTTGATGACCAAAATAGTTCCACATGATCCTCCAAATGATGGTGTTTGCACTTTAGTATGTTGGCAAGCGTGTCTGGGTGCTGTTAATTTAGGGTGCCCTGATTTTATAAGAACGTTTGCTTTACTAGGGGAAAGGGGTAATGGGAGTTGTTTGATGGGTATAGAGTTTCAGTTTTGCAAGATGAAAAAGTTCTGGAGATTGGTTTACAACGATGTGAATATACTTAACACTACTAAACTGTATACTCAGAAATGGTTAGGATGGTAAATTTTCCATCATGCTTTTTTGCAACAATACAAAAAGTTTGCCTTAAAAATATTATTACGTAAATAATACCTGATAATTATGGAAAAATCGGAAAACACAGACAAACAAAAAGGAAAATAAAAATCACCCACAATCCTAACAGCTAAGGTTAACGATTTGTTTCATAAATTATATATATATATGTGTATATATATATATATGTAGGTTCACACTGGATATCCTGTTTTATAACCTGTTTCAAACAAAGTTTACACTATTTTTAACTATATTTTACGTTCTATGTTCTTAATTAAAAATCCAGAGGAGGGGGATGTTTCTGTAAACTCTGAGGCCTTATAAAGAAGTGAAACTGCATGTTTAGGGGTGCATGGCCCTCCATTGATGCTTCTCTTTTTTGGTTATGTGTCCTCAGGAGAAGGAAAGGCTCCTCCACTTCCTGACTTGTCAGCCAGCTCTGCTGTCATCTTTCAGTAGTTCCTTTTAGATCTGACCACACCCACAGAGGCTTCTTGTACTTTGGGAACTGGTGAGTTCTCCTCAGTTCTCAGTGGAGTGACATAGACTTCTCAGTCACATGTCTATCCACTGGGATAACATCAATACACATCTAAGCAAGGTTAACGATTAAATTGTTGGGATGAAAGGTCAGGAGACTTGCCTTTAGTTGGAACATCAGAACATCAGTATGGGAGGAAGTATATGGCTACTCGCCTTCCACCTTCTCTGAGGAAAAGAGTAAAGAAAAGACGACACAGTCCTACAAGAGTCTTCGTTCCAGAAGTGCTCCAGAAATCATGGAGAAGTTCTGCAACTCTACTTTTTGGGTGAGAAATTTCACTTAACCTCAGTGTTGACTCTTCTCAGACTCAGAACAAGTAGTAGATTAGCCTAGAGTGGCCACCAATAAGAACCAGAAACGTTAGATGTATAGATGGTCAAAAGCTTAGGTTTTCTTAGAAAAGATAAGTCATAATATCTCCAGAGTATATTCTATGTGGGAGAGGTAATATATTTATTCTCTAACATATGTTTGTTGTATCCAAGACTCTTTTCTCAGACTAGCTAGTTGCAAAATTGCCTTCTCTAAAGGGAAACAGGAAAAGGCTTCCAATTTCATCAATGTTAAGAGGGGGAATTGTCGTGGTATAGTTTGTGGGGTAGAAGAAAGAAGAGAGGGTCCATGATTGAGTCTTGTTGAGGTATGTTGATGTTGAAATGATAATGGTATGTTCTAGATTAACTGGCAAATAGCGATATGGACTGGAAGTTGAGGCCAGGGCTGCAAATTTGGGCATCATGAGCACTGAGATAATTTTTGAACCATTAGAACAGAGAATTTCAAGACAGACAGGGTGAGCAACAAAACCAAATGGTTTAGTGGAATAGAGAATGAGAAGGGACCTTGGATTTAGAGATTGTGAGAAAGTGTGGTCTGCAAATGCCTAGCAGTGCATTTGCTAGGAGTGCTGGTTAAAACAGTTAAAATATCTAGATAATTCTTCTGAATTCTAAAGTTAGATAACTTTATGGTGAAATGAGAAGAGCAGGAATGAGATAGCAGAGCATGTGGGCAGCACTTACCATCTTAGAAAGAACCTGGGCCCAAGGCCTTGGAGGCCAGGACATGTATACCACAGGAGGGTGGGTCTTAATAGGCCCTAGGATCTTGACAGGCTATCTTTTGAGAATTCTTCCTGAGAATTATCTGACAGATCATCTTGGTCAGGGCACCTCAAACTTTTCTTTAGAGAGTCTGTGCAAAGAGCTGTACAAAACAATTAAAAAATACTTATAAGAAGAGAAAAATCTACTCTCACATGACTCAGATACAAGAAATGGTGCCCCCCACCCTCATCTCACAAGACTCTTCTAATTTATTGCAAAATACAAAGACTAGCACAAAACTTACTGGGAATAAGCCTTCGTCCCACAGCGCCGTTGCTGCTCCTATGTCAAGGCTCCCTCAGGTTCCAACATAAGTCCTCAGGGCCAGAGGAGGCTAAATGCCATAGTATGACTAAGCATTCTGCTGCCTGCATGTTTAAAGGTCTGCCAGCACTAAAAATCAGAATAAGAAGAACGAGTTTTTATATCCCAGGGAACTATTTTCCCCTTTGGATTGAGGAACGGTCCTTCTTCTTCCCACAACTTGGCAAATGCAGTGGTGAAGTTTACTTAGAATAGCTCGTGGAGAAATAAGCTTAGAATCACAGAAAGAAAGGTTTTTAGAGATTGGATTGGCCAGAAACATCACTAAATGTCATTAAATAGTGAATTCATATCAATGGAGATGAATAGGAAAATACAGGTAGTTAAAGGGTCAGGCTGCATATGGATATAGAACCAAGTTAAAATTGTTTGGAAGCTGGGGTAAGGGTGGGGGAATTGGCTGGGGGCTGGTCTTCTGTCTTCAAAAATGCATGTATCCAACAATCCTTCCATTTTGTTCCCCTAGAATTCCTCATTTCTGGATAGCCCGGAGGCGGACTTGCCACTTTGTTTTGAGCAAACTGTTCTGGTGTGGATTCCCTTGGGCTTCCTTTGGCTCTTGGCTCCTTGGCAGCTTTTCCATATATATAGATCCAGGACCAAGAGATCTTCTATAACCAAACTCTACCTTGCTAAGCAGGTACGGAATCCCACTATTTTCTAACTAATTCTTTGGTGCACTAGAGGCATTTTCTTGGTGGTTCCAGTGTCTTCTTCCCTGTCTTGAACCAGCTTTCCCAGGTGCTGCTGTCTCACGTAGAGCCATACTCTGGGTCTCCTTCTCTCCACCTGCCTTATGCCTCACTGGCCCCTTGCCATATTTCTTAGTTAAGGTGACTTTGATTTATGCATAAAGATAGTGACTCTTAAATCTTATTGATATTGGACTCCTTAAACACAATGATGAGTAATCAGTCAAATAGTTATTGTCTTTTCAGTGTTTGAGAAGTAAAAACTGGATTACCTGTCTTGAAGTTGTCCTAATGAATCAAAAGACTGTAATTCAATTGGCACCTACCATGAGGTGAAAATAAAATGTCCCTTGTGCACCATTCAGGCAATCCAGCCATTGCTCATCTCTCAAAATTTGGATCTGAAATAAGGGTTCCATTTTCCCAAAGTCTTCCATTGAGTCTGTTCAATCACTCACAGTAGAGTGAGGTAGGGTGAGTGCTCACAGCGACAAGCCTGAGTAGGAAAATAATGGAAAGGACAGGGGCTGTAGGAGAGAGCCTAGCAGGATCAAGGGGAGGAGCCCCTCAGCCAGCTCCACTGACTAATGCAGAGAGGGTCTGGTGGGAACTGAAAGACCTTCAATTGAGGTCGTAAAGCTACCTCATAAAATCCACCATCTGTTTCTTTCAGTCTTTTAATTTTGTATGATTATTTTCAGTTCTCCTATTAGTTATCTTTATACCTAAAAATAATCTGCCATCAGTTTTAGACTCTACATCATACATATCCATGACTTCAGGTTACCTGGAATCTAAAAGGAAGGAGGGAACTTGGCCAAAGGAAGTGGGATTTGCATTGACACTTCGAGGTGGGGACTGGTGGTGGGTTTTGTCAGACTCTGGATAGGAAAAGAACAGTCTCTGAGAGCCTGGGGCAGGGTCACTCTCTTCCTTGTTGACCCAGCACAGGGCCTAGCACTCAGTATGAATTTGTTCAATGTTGTTATTAAATGCACTCTAGGAGTAAAAATTGAGTTAAGAGTGTTATATCCCATCCTAATCCTAGCTATTATTAACTTTTCAAAAACAGCTTTATTGAGATATATAATTCACATACTATACAGTTCACTCGTTTAAGTACAATTCTATTTTTTTTAGTATATTCACAGATATGTGCAACTATCATCATAGTCAATTTTAGAACATTTTCATTCCCTCAAAAAGAAACCCCCTATCTCCCCATTCACCTTAGCCCTAAGCAACCACTGATCTGTTTTCTGTCTCTATAATTTCCTGATTCTAGACATTTCATATGAATGCAATCATGTAACATGTGGTCTTTTGATTGGCTTCTTTTACTTAGCATAAAGTTTTCAAGGTTCATTCATGTTGTAGCAGGTATTAGTACTTTATTCCTTTTTATGGTGGAATAATATTCCATTATACGGCTATATCACATTTTGTTTGACCTTTATAAACACTAATCTCTATGGAGAAAAAGGAAAGCAACGTATTAGTTTTTGTTTTTGTTTTTTTTCTGTAGCTAGTAATCTACTCCTTGCTCATAGTCTCAGGAGCTCCATTTGTAATTTATACTTTACTTTTTTGTGCTCCACCTTGAGGGTGATAGGCACAGATTAGCTTCCTCTTAAAAATGTCAAAATAATTGGTTTCTTCTCTGAAACAGTCAGAAGTATAATTCCTAACAAAGTAAAACTTTACTTCTGTGAGAACCTTCTGCTAGGCTCACGCCTCAACTTGGTTTTATTTCTCCACTTCCTCTTCTACCTGTCTTCGGGCTGTTTGTTGCCCGTTGCCTCTCCTGAACTGTTGTTATTGCTGTTCTTGTTTGGTCATTAGTGCGGTGATTGTCTCATCTGAACTAAGTCAGTTTGCTTGACCAAGCTGGTGAGAGACTACAAGTTTCTTTGTTTGTTTAAAGGTGCATACTTACTGAAAGGTCCCTGCACACAGTAGGTAACTGAATGAATTGAATTAAAAAATGATGAATGAGTGAATGGGCTCATATTTAGCCCCAGGGGGACAAAAGAAGTATTTGGTTCTGGAGGTTGTAGAAGTGCTGAGATCAGAGGAAGGTGTGCAGCAAAAATGGGCTTAGTGTTGAGCCAGTGAGACATGGGAATCATCAAGTATTTGCAGAAGTATCACACAGAAGATTGCCTGGCTTGTTCTGAAAAGTTTCAGAGAGAAGGATCAAGATTAAGTGGGTGGAGGTTGTTCCAGGGAAGCCAACTTTGGCTAAATATACAGAAGATCTTTCTAATAATAATAACTATCTCTTAATAGAATAGACTGCTGGAGGATATAGTCCCTGAAAATATTGAAGCTGAAGTTAGTTAGACATTTGTCTGTCAGGGAAGTGGGGGAAGTAGACACTCTCGGTAATGAGCAGAAGATTCAACCACAGTGCCTTGTCATTCATAATGTGCTGGGAAAAGGAGGACCTTGCAAAGATGGAGAGAGATTAAATATGGCCAAACCACTCTTCTTTCTTTTTTAATACCAATGAGACTGTGTCTCCTTAGGAAGCTGAGTGTAGTAAACTCCATGTGCATTTGAAGCTCCTCCAATAAATCAGAGATCAAGGTCAAAGGCTATTGGGACTTGGTAATCATTAAACAACCACAATATTTCCCTGATCCTAATTAATAAAAGTGTGTTATATGTTTCTGATTATAAAAATAATGCATGATTATTGTAGAAAGTTTGGAGACTCTAGAGAAACAGGAAGAAAAGTAAATCCATTGATAATTGCACCACTCTGATGTTAACTCCTGTTAACATTTTGGTATGTTTCCTTCCACTCTTTAAAAAAAAAAAAAAAACTGAACAAGAAATACAAAATGAAAAGAAAGTCTCTCTCTCACCCTCGTACCTCCCAGTGCCATTCTCCAGAGGACTCCATTTAAAATTATTTTGATGGTTACCTCCATATCTGCAAATAATGTGTTATACTTGTATTTTTGGATCTATCAACTTCAAAAAAGATCTGTTTATGCCCTCTGTAAAAAACAAGGACTTTAGCTCAATGATCCTGTCCCCTAGCTTCCTTTTTCTCTCTTCTTCTTTCAGTCTTTTAATTTTGTATGATTATTTTCAGTTCTCCTATTCGTTATCTTTATACCTAAAAATAATGTGCCATCAGTTTTAGACGCTACATCTTGATGCCACTTTGTGTAAGATGAGAGAATTAGTGCCCCTAAATTTCTTGGATCTGGAGACCACTCTCAAAATTTTCAGAGACAGCAACAGTAAATAAAGTCTCTAAGCCTTTGCTTTCTGAAAATGTTCATCTGAATAGGGAATGCTAGGTTCAAAACAAATGTTTTTTAACTCTGAAGATGTTGCTATATTGTTCCCCAACGTTGTGTGCTACCGAGTTAGAATTCTCATTTCTTGTTATCCTCTCTAGAAGCTTTTATCCTCTTTATTCTTTTTTTTTTAAGAAGAGATAGGCATATTTTTTTCCCCCAGGGGAAGATTCGCCCTAAGCTAACATCTGTTGCCAATCTTCCTCCTTTTTGATTCCTTCCCCCCACCCCTAAAGTGCCAGTACATAGTTGTGTATAGTTGTAAGTTCTTCTGATTCTTCTATGTGACCTGCCATCACAGCATGGCCACTGACAGACGAGTGGTGTGGTTCCATGCCCGGGAACTGAACCTGGGCTGCCGAGGTGGAGCCTGCCGAACCTAACCGCTAGACCATCAGGGCTGGCTCTATCC